TCTTCTCTAGAATTCCTTTGCGGTGACATCGTTAATGCGACAATCGTTTTTTTTTTCTCTCTTTATCGTTTCATTCGTCAAATTTTCACAATCGTATTGCTCTGTCCGTTGTCCGCGAGATCATCTCGATATCATCATTTCCGATCGCTCTTCAAAACTCTCTCAAACTTCTTCTTCTCTTCTTCCTCCTCCGATCCATTTTGCTTTTTTTCTTCTTCCCTCTATTTAATATTATTATCCCCTAAACCGATTCGTTCGACATTATCGACATGTCAATTATGCATTTACCATGTTAATACTTATTAAATATTCTTTTAATTATTGTAGATCACAGACAACTTGTTCTTAATCCATAAAAACAATTCAATTATTATTTCTTTCCATAGGTTATCAGTGTAGTCGTGTACATCTGTGTGTGTGTTCACATACACACACATGTTCGTTCAGTGTGAAACGGTGTAACAAATCGTACGTGTGTATATGTTCATGTGTGTGTGTGTGTGTGTATATCGTGTCTCGTTTCTTTGTTTTTCTTCTTTTGTACGTGGAACAGATCGCAAAATTGTAAAATGACAGGAGCTCGCGTCGTATGAGAATCACGCTGCAAGATCATCTCAGACAGCTTCGATGCTACGTGGAACGTTAAAATTATCCCCTAATACAAGATATCTTAACTGTTTTTTCTTGGGTCAAGCACCATAGTAATTGCTTCTCGTGCTCACCGGCGAAAAGGAAGAAAGTCTATACATATACATACACATATATATATGGACCAGAAACGCTTCAGTACGTGTGAACACCGTCAACCGTTTCTCATTTCGTGCTTCTAGTTTTCTTCTTTTCGCCCTTTCGATTATATCGAGATCGACAGCAAATTGCACACAATTTCTCTGTACCTTCGGAACCTTAATACTTGTTGAAAATCAATTTCAAGCAGACGTGCATGGTGTGTGTGTGTAGTTTCCTGTTTGATCGATAGATACACCGTCGAACGATATACGAACGCCACAGAGAAACGTGATATAAAATAGACGGAGAAAATCGTGATAGAAAATTTATAACGAGAATGAAATTAACAAATTTTCTTCTGTACAAAATTCGTCCGAACACGGTATTCTTCCTTGCGTTTCAATCCTGCCGATATATATCGATCTTCGACGACAATCGCGATCGATCTCAAAATGGTTCTCGGAACTTTGGCGACAATTGTCCGGAAAATTTACGCACGAACGGCGAGAGAAAAATGTGAATTGCGGTTTGAAAAGAATTGCGAACAATAGGAAATATCGCAAGGCTCGGTAAGTAATATATACCCTAATTCGGTGAAATTCTGTCAGCGTCAATTTTTGCCATCGATCTCAGGGGCGAAGGTTCGCCTGTCCTGCGCCACTCGTATCGATTCACGCGCAGCAACGTGGCCGCGAAAAAACCACTGTTACTTGTTTTCACCCTCTGCGCAAGTGGCACCCTGTGTGTTCCTTTACGTAATCGCGTAAGGTGAGTTTTATCATTTGAGCTCCGCTCTCTGTTTCGCGACAGAGTTTTCGCGCCTTCGATTTCGACGATTTTTCGGCAAAAAAAAAAAACAAAATGTTGCGTGCAGCGTTTCACCGTGTTGCGTTCGTTAACTCACAACGGATCGGTTCTACAGCCGTGAACAAACGACTTCCCTTTCCTATCGACAAACTTGACCCGAAATCACCCCCCAGAAAAATTGCATTCTTCCGCAACGCGCAGATACATCGCGATACCGCACAATGTGCTTCAGACCCGGCTGATTCGCGCTATAACGTCCAGCTGTTGATAAAGAACTGATATCGGTTTGATAAAGTATTATACGATATTTTTCACTCTGCTCCTCTGCTATCAATAGCAACGTCGATATTGCATTCGATGGTTACTTGTCAAAAGTGTCGTAGTACGAAGTTTATCGCTGGATTTTCTTTAGTCGATGAGACGTGTAACCTTTCAATTTCACAATGTACAGGTATTAATTTAAATATAAAATTTTTTCCAAATTTTTATCATTCTCCGTCGGTTAGATTATCCACAAAATACGTTTTCACAATTTTACCGCACACAATTCGCCTTAATATCGCTAATTCGGCGATCGAGATAGCCCAGAGGGAAAATTCAGTAGTACAAGTCGCGGATAGTCGGGCAACCGAGTAGCACGAGTCAGCCGTTCGCATTGAACAAACTCCAAACAGAGTAACGTTTCCTTCGCCGTTCCTCCATGGCATTCTCTGCTGTTCCTCTCCGCACGCTCGGTGAAAAAGAAACGCGGAAATCGAACAGTCGATGAAAGAAGGGCGGTACACCCCCGAAGCGCAATTTTAACTTCACCTGGTATTCTGTGTGAATCGCGTCGAATATACCTGAACAGAAGCTTGTTGTTTGTCACGGACACAGTGTGAAAGACGGACAAATCTGTGTCTCTGTATATGTACGTATGTATGTTTGCGTGTGTATGTGTGTGTGTGAGAGACGTTGCGTATCGATATAGTGTGAGTTTCCTTGACTCGTCTACGATGCACGTGGAGTGGCGTTATCTCGGATGCGCGTCATGATCACACAGCAAGCAGATTAACTTAGTAATACTTGTTAACTGATAAACGGTACTTCTTAATCCATTAATTTTTGCTCGTCTTTTTTTTAAGCATTTTTTTTTTTTTTTCGGTAGTCCACTTGAGTAAACGCGACCGTTTCTCGCGTGCGCGCGTGTGTGTGTGTACATCTCTCGGTTTCTCTCCTCTTCAGCCGTCGTTCTCCCCTTCGAGATCGTATCACGGGACACGAGACACAGAGTCTCTTTACGAATTTTTCTCTCCTCAGTTCTCTATCACACCTTTTCGTTTTGTTCGAGTGAACCAGAGTCGGCCGGTTGTGCAAAAAAATGGACCAGTGTGTGTGTGTGTTTTTTGTTTTCCTCTTCTCGCTGTTCGG